CAAATATGCACCAAAAATAGATAAATATCTCAATCATTACTTACTAGCATATTTGCGCGTCCATTCCCGAGCCGTCGCTTCATAACGGGCACGGTCGGTCTTGTAAACATGAGCAATTTCAGGTACAAGCGGATCGTCTATAGTGTCAAAATTATTTTAGTCGGTGTGCAACATGTTTGATAAAATAAGCTTAATACATACCTGGGTTAGGGTCAGTCAACATCGAACAAATAGACAAAAGCACTGAAAAAAGTAATCATTAACGTAGTTTAGAATTTATAGAAGAGAATAATTACAATATGTTTAAGTAAATGATGTATTGTACCTTTCGAAATGGTAAGAGCAGGTGACCACTGGTCTCTTAGAATATCTAGGCATATACTTCCATTACTGTTGATATTCGGATGGTAAATCCTTGTTGTAAAATTAACCTTTCAATGTATATATAACGTTTTATTTATGTTAGAAAATGCCAGTCTTTACATAAATTATTAACGAGAGACGATACCTTTGGTGGTTTGAATGGATAATCTGTTGGAAAATGGATGGCAAGAAAAAATACACCACCGGTGTATGGAGATTCGGTCTAGTACCGATGAAAACAAAAAAATCAATTCTAGTATCATTTCAAACAATCCAATGAATACTATGGGCATCAAATATTACTTACAGGGCCCATAATTGTTGCTTGCCAATGAAAAAGATCTTCTCCAATAGGACCAGCGCTGCAAGACGAAGGTGGGTCTCGCCCTAAGTCGTGCAATTCCTAAAAAATAAATAAAATGAGCATCAAAAGAAAAACGTCGCAGTCAAGAAAGTTTAATATTCTTCGACCAATATACCCAGTGTTAGCTCTAAATTACACGGGCTTTACTTGTTTTGCTATTAAAAAAACACTATCATTTTATAATCAAGTTTAAAACGAAGTCGATAACATAGTAGAAACTATCAAGCCCTTGATCTGGGTAGCTACAACGCCTTTATTAAAAGCGCTGCTTTTTAAAATAAATAACATTGAGATTTGTAAAATATCCCAACAGGGATAAAGCCACAAAGGTCCGAAAAAAAAGTCCAAACATGTTTAAACGAAATAAGGCAAGTATATTCCTGTAACCATTTAAAATACTTCTCTTAACTTACTTTATTAATTCTTTTCAGAGCCATTTCGTTTGTTGCAAGTAGAAATTATTAAGTAGAAAAAAGTATGTTATAGAAAGAGATGAACAAAGTCCTTTTTTTTAAGGTTACAAGGCTAGTTTGCCGCGGGGGTGTGGAATATTGTGGAAGGGTAAAGATTGATTACCAAGGCAATCAATTTGGGTTTGGGGGTGACCGGTTTTTTTATAAATAGTAAATAGCATGACCTTGCAGTTATTTAAACCCCCGTACTCCGCAGCTAAATTCAATCCATCACGTGACACATTCCGCCTTCTCTTTACGAGTTTTCAGATTCGCGGAGTTACATTTAAAAATTCCGACATGCAAGTTTAATCAGCAAATTATGAAATATTGAAATATTTAAAATGGGATAGACTATTTTCATTGTGAAACAATACAAATCGGAATCTTTATTGGAAAATAGAGATTCAATTTTAATATGATCAGCTATGTCATTAAGATAATGTTAATTATTACATGTAGAGTTTAAATCATTATCCGAATCACAGCTATGAAATAACTAATACAAGCTCCAGCAAGCATGATGCTGAAAGATCACATATGTTTGATATTCACTACTTAAACTTTTGTTATATCTAATTTATAGCTTGTAAATGACAATTATTTTCGGGCCTTCATTGATTCGAAAGCTTTTGCTCGCAATTTTTCAAGTTGTTCTAGTTCGGACATTGACGTCTGAAAAAAAAAAAAAAGAAAAAAAATATATATACATATATATTTTTTATTTATATACGTAGTTTTAGTAACAGATTTTATATCTTAATCTTCCTTCAGAGAAGGAAACTTGTCTAGATATACCTTCTTATTTTCCTCCTCATCTTCATCATCGTTCCATTTTGACTTGAAAATAGGTGCATCTGCTACCTTTTTTCTAGGGGGTGAGTTTTGAATTGAATCAATTTCTTCTACTGAATCAACCAATCTTTTCCTATTTTCATCTTCGGTTGCAACATTGTCCGTGTGTTGATCATGATAATTTCTTCCTGGAGAAGGAGTAGAGCTATACTGTTCGGAAGATACCTTTGTAACAATTTCTTCCTTTGAGAGGCGACGCCGCTTACTCGTATCCTCTTCCTCTCGACTTCTGCTACGACGTGGTCTCCTTTCATCATATCTCCGTTTCTCTTTGCTTCGACTTCTGCTACCGCGCCGATGGCTCTTATGCTTTCGGCGTTCTCCACTACGTTCCCTGGTAATACGATCTCTACTTTTACTTCTACTTCTTCTATGCGATCGTCGTTGATGTCTACTCTCGGCGCTTCTACTTCTGCTTCTCCTATGGGATCGTCGATGTTTATTTTCGACGCTTCTACTTCTACTACGACTACGAATCCGGTGAGAATTTCTACTTCTACTACGTCGTCGGACCGATTTCTGGTCACGATCCTATAAAGATTAGCTTGTAAGACGAAATTGATT